TAAACTATTTCGTCATTTTGGTCTTTTAAATTAAAGTTCTAAGCCGAAAATAACAGATAATTCCAAAAAAATACATATGCATAATTTTATTCCTATATCCATATCTATCCGTATCTAGAACCGGAATAGCATCCCTGGTCGAGACTATTTTAATTAGCACAATGTGCATACTTATCGTTCGTTGAAGCTTAAAATAAGTGCCTTACAGTACGAGCCACTTTCAAAAGAGCTCTTTGTTTACATTTTGTTCAACTGTAATTTCGTGCTCGTGAAAAATGTAAAGAAGTACTCTCAGTGTGTTGTTTGTGAAAGAACTAATTGCCGACTGAAAGAATAACTGTTTGCTGTAAAATAAAATGCTTTTGATAGTGATGTTTTCTTTGTAACGTTATATCTAGTTTCTAAATAAATATTTACTTCATTTCAATTGAAATGTGAAAATCTTCTAATGATCTACGCAACTCAAATGAAATAGGAATGATTCGCATTTCTTTTTAACTACTAGCTACCATACGAAAATCTAACTATGTATCTTAAATAAGTATTTTATCTTTCATTGGAAAGGGGAAATGACCAAAATATATTTATATATTTAAATCCGTAAGAAACCATTATTTTAGTTGCATTGCTATGAATGACTGTCGACTATAGAGAAATAAAAAAGATAAAAAAATGACAAAACGAGTTTTAAAGACTTTTTTCTTCCGCCTATTACAGAAAAAAGTTATATGAATTTGATTGTAGATTAATAGTACAAGCCAATGTCTTCCTTGCTGCTCTTAATTTTAGGTCGACGAGGCTAGATTCAGCTGTCATGTTCGAACAAAGGCCCCCAAAATAGGTATATATTTTTTTTGTACGGGATAGTTCCGAAAACGAGCTGATGGATCACCTGATGGTAAGGGATTGGCACCGCCTATGGATAGTGGATACCCGCAACACTAAAGAAGTTAGAAATGATTTGCCGGCCTTTGGTTTGTTAAGACGGATAAGGATAGATTTGGGGATTGAGGCTCATGCAAGGCTCACAGACTCATGGTATTCTGTTAGGCCATATTAGCATTCCAGCATTAGTACCTATATTATAAGGTGTGTTTTATTTTTATCGCCATGTGTTTGACACAATCTGAATGTTGTTAATGAATAAAGTTTTAAATATGACGTTCCGGTCTATTCCCGCCAAAGCATGGCTTTTCCAAACTTAATTCAGTAATTAAAAATAGACCGAAAAATCATTTCTTAATTACTAACTACCTACATATTTCCAAACATCCATTGTCAGAAACCTCATTTAAAACCCATCCCCTCAATGAAACAGGATTTACGTCTTGCCACCAAACCTTAATCAAATGCGTCATAATTAAATCAATCATGAACTCCACAAGTTCGCCTCACAATACTTCGACTTCAAGGCATTCGCCTGTAAACTCGGATTTCCATCAAATTAAACACCGTCTTCACAAAACTATTTGTAAAAGATTCCGTGGTAAGGGGTTCTATTCAGGATGTGAAATTTAACGTATGAGACCTCTACCGGTTCAAATAAAGCGATGAGCACCTATTGTGTTCGCTTGAAAGGTGGGACATATCTATCTCATACTCATAACCACCGCGACGCCTTATTATTCCTTGTGATTTCTTCATTTCGGTGTAAAAAAGGAATTGTATAGAGCTGTTGATACCTTTTTATTTTTGTATTTGTTTTTTTTGTTTCAGCTACGCAGATGCATACTTTTTTGAAACAAATAAATGTAATAAATAATAATAACGTTATTATTCTTATGTTGTCTTGGAATTTGACAATAAGCTTGTTTACTATTTGCATGTTTTAATTTTATAGATTTTTAAACTACATTCTCGGCTTCGCAGGGGTGCAATGCTGATACTAAACATCTCCGCTAATTAATTGATGTTATTATACATATAATACATATAAACATTACCCTTCAATCACGCTATCTGTTTTAAAAAAACAACATCCGTTGCGTAGTTTTACAGATTTAAGCACATATAGAAATATAGGAACAGAAAAAGCGACTTTGTTTTATATATACTATGTACTCGTACCTAGTGATGGAGAAAAGGTCCATAGTCCATTGTCCAGCAATAGACTAATATAGGCTACTAATGATGACTAGGAAATCTTAAGTTGGACCACATTAAAACTGTAAAGTATTTTTTGCATGTAGATGAACAACTCTTTACAAATATTCATCTTAGATATGAAAACGTAGCGCATTGCGTGTGAATAAGAATACACGTAAAGGGCTCTATAGATCCACGTGTTATACGCAACCAAAATCAAATGGCCCCCGCGGATTCAATTCAAAACCTTTTCTATTCCCATTCTTTTATCAAATTTATAAAAAGAAGAGCTCCAGTTACGCTGGTTCTTTTTGAAGACGATCGCAAGGCGTGTAAGTTCGCATTTATAAAGATTCCGAACGCATTCCACAAATGAACACAATTTAAAGATGAATGCGCCTTTGGATTCTCAATTTGAATTTTGAATATACGGTTCGATTTGACCTTAATGACGTCATATTTTGTGTGTCCAATGTTTTGAGAAAATAGGGAAACGTGATATGTAAATCGTTTATGTAGATGGCATGACTTGTACGTATTATTTCTGGGTCTTTGTGTCTTCTTGCTTATCTATGAAAAGCGTGACGAAGCTATTTCACGACATATCCATTTTATTCTTTCATATAAATTGCTTCTATTTAGTGATACAATGACGTCATTTCTGTTGCTAGGTGTATAGTAGTATTTTCGGAAGTATATATTTAAGCTATGTAGGTATGTCTTATGTAAGAACTAGCTACGAGTACTTTGTTTTTTCTTCAATACTATTATGTTTTATAATACGAAGGCATTATATTTAGATAGAGACCTGACTAAGTAAAAAAATAAATATTTCTTACATCTTAACATTACTTATAAAATAGAAAAAAAAGGAGACTACAAAACAGTTTGATGGCAAATGCAGGTCCTTTTGTGTAGCACAAACATACACATTCACAGAAAACAATTTGTAAATAACCTCAATATGTATAGGTATATGTACAGGACATTCAGAGCACAATTGGCAAAAATTATTAAGAAAATACTATGCATTCAATTTGTATAAGACATTTGACGAAAAAAAAACATAAGGTTCACGATCACGATACAGGTATCACGATACATAATCTCGGGCTAAATTAATATAAACCTGTCGATTCTGATAATCTACATAAAACAATAAAGAGGTGAAATTTGTAAGTTTGTATGTTGAGGGTAATTGTTGGAACCACTAGTCGGATTTCCGAAATTCTTTCACTGGTAGATAGCTACAATGTTTCTGGGTGCTGTAGCTACAAACAATCACTCTACGACCAACAGGAGCCGAGTAACGAGTAAAATCGCGCAGCAGTAGCTAGTATGAAATAAACTTACTATTAGACTAGTTTGTTAAGTAACAAATTTAACTTCTATTCAAAATTTCAAGAGCAGTACGCATCCTTAATATGCATACTTACTTAATAAGACCTACACATCAATCTAAGCCTCTCCAACCTTATTACAATGCAAATGAGTCCCACTAACAACAAATACCACTTCAGATTCTCATCAAATTGTAATATTTTGTTCGTCAAATAACCTAAGGGAATTGTAAATCCATGGAAAGCCATACTCATTCGGCATTAGCGTGAAGTACTTAAGTGTATGACATACACTACGGATTATTCCCCTATTCGACATGCATCAAAGACTTGGAAGCATTATGGGGTAACAGTGATTTGAACAATGGGAATTATGTGAAATTTGCTACGCGGCACTGATACTTGACCTAATATGGAGGTTGGTATGAAAGTGACAAAGGAAATTGAATTTTGGAGTGGTGAATTTATGATTGAAAGTAAATTAGCTGTAATTATTGATGTTGGTTGGGTATGAGTCAATGCAACGGTGATTTAAATTTGATCAATAATACAATTAGATCACGAATTCTTTGATAGTTAAACTTTGAAAAGGTAGATTTGATAATGACTGACCCATATAAAAGTCATAACGGGAGAATTGTGGTCAAAATGTTGTATCAATCAATTGATAATTGTGTTGATTATGAGACAAAATTCATTTTGTCTGTGGACTGATTTGCCTATAATTATCGTGGTGGCTAAGTTCGAAACCTGGTACTAAATACTAATGTGACTTTTTCCGAGTTATTTGTACTTTCTAAGATTATTTAGATACCATTGACATAATTATGGCGAAGGAAAACATCGTGAGGAAACCTGAACTTATTTCTTCTTATAAGTTTGAAATCGTAATCGTTCGTAATCGGCAAGCTTGGTGATTAATGATCCAAATTGCTCCATGTGAAAAGAGGCCTTTTCTCAGATGAGGGCACTTATAGGCTGATGATGTTGATATGCCTTTATTGCACACACTAGCCACCCTCGCGCGGTTTCACCCGCTGCTCAGCTCCATTTGATCGTAGCGTGATGTTTTATAGCATATAGCACTCAGGAACATTGTAGCTATCAGTGAAAGAATTTTGGCAATCCGACCAGCGGTTCCAAAGATTACCCCCTACATACAAACTTACAAACATAAAAACTTAAAAAATTTACCTCTTTATAATATTAGTATATAGTACACTTAACAACTCATCATAACGTTTGCTACTTAGAGGCATTTAACTATTCTCTAGTACCTATTTTGTTTCGATAACAATTACTTAAGACTCGGTTAGTAACCAATAAATGACAATTTCAACTTATTTTTTTTTTAACTCTGTATCTGACAGTCGATAAGCGATTGTAGGTACACGTTTTACTATGAATAAGGTATCAGCAGTAAATCAAGTTTTATCAAACACACGATTTCTATATAAAAATTCATTATAATATTTTTTTTAATAACTCGCGTCATGAAAAAAAAATATTATTACTTTGGGTTGGTATATAAAGGACTGGGTTTTTGCAAAAGTATACCATTCTTCAACCCTCGCAATGAAGGCGGCGCGTACCATAGCCACTTGTTTCTTACTCTTGGTACCTTTGGTACCAAGAAATGGAGTCCATGACACCAGTAAGTATTTATTTATAATGTATTAATTAACTAACTAACAAAACTTGAACATTTTACCGTCACAAAAAATTATGTGTAAATATAAAACTTGTGATCGTGTCTATTTTTATTATATTTCTAATGCTTGTTATATATCTGTGCTACTATTGTTTTGGAAAAAATATTTCCTAATATTTTTGATACAATATTTTTTATAGAATATAATTGATAATATATTAATTTCTATATAATCTTACTATTATTTATGGGGAACTGTCTTTCTCAGAAATATTCAAAGTTTTAACGTAATTTTAAACATTGCGTAGCATATTACGTCATTAAGTCACTCTACGAGCGCACAAAATGAAGTTAATTACAACTTAATTCTCACTGTAAATTACATCAATATTATTTTGTATTTTATTTACAGAATCATCTCCGCTCCTGAAACGTAAGTACATAAAAAAACAACATGTTGTAAAACAAGCTTTTAACATGATGAATCCCGGGAACACCACTTTAGTTAGACATATTTTTATGTAGTTCATAGTCATAAAGTTTAGCATAGCATTTATAGTCTTGCAAAGCAGATTTTAGCTCAATCGGTTGAAGATATCTGCTTAAAAGTTGTAAAATGTACATTACAAATATTTATACATACCTAAGTAGCAAGATAAACGTAAGCATTTAAAAATTAATACTTTACTACCATATCGTAATAATTCTAAGTACAGTCTTGAAACAGATAATATAATAATAATGTTATTTAGGGGCTGATTTTTCAATAGTTAGATAAAAGTTATCTGGGGAATAATCATGATGATATCGCGTCAGGATGTTTGTATAAGACAGTGACAGCAACAATTTTATTCCTCAGTTAGCATTTATCTATCTATTGAAAAATCAGCCCTAAAACTATTTTTATGTTTGTTTTCAGAGATTGGAGATTCCCTGAAGAGTACGTAAATCAATATAAAAATATGAAATATACTTTTTAATATTGATGAATTATTTATTTATGTGTTTTATTAGTTTTTATGTTTGAAAAAATACATCTAATAAATACAGTATTGTGAATTTAAATTAATTTCAGATTTGACCAGCAAGCAATTGCAAGTCGTTGCCGGAATCCAAACTAAAAGTAAGAAATGACATAAATTAATATTTTTTTTACATAATAGTATTTAAAAAATCATGATTTATATTTTTAATTATTTATTTACAGACGACACTTCACCTTCGTACGAGCTTACTCAAACCAAACCAGGAGGAGGTATGAATTTTATATAATTTAATAGATCCAAACAATCATGTTAAAACTTTATTTAAGTACTAAAATATTAATTTTAATAAAATCAACAGCTATTCAAAATAGTTTAAAGTTAAAGACTTACATGAGATAGACAATGAAGTTTTTCATTATTAAAAAAATAAAATAATATTCGAATAACAAACTCGCACTCACAAACAAAACAGAAATTGTACAATCAATTTTTTTTAAGCATCCAGAGTATTTCCTATAAGTACAAAACAGCAAACACAAGACTTCAATATTATACTCTTTTTTATATTTTCCACTTTATTTGTATTGCTATTGGGATACAGGTGAAATACTTAAAAAAAGATTTATACCTTAACACTTCTCCACCTAATAATAATTTTTAAGAAGAATTTCAAACTCGTCTGACCTTTTTTTGTTTTTTCAGGTGGTGGCAGTCAACCAGGTACAGATTGCAACAAGATACAACTATGGCTATTGCCTCCATCATCAAAATTACACTTTATTTCTTTCTTTATAAAATTGGAATTACCTTAGTCATAGTCATTTTCTCAAGTTTCTCTGTCTTTTTGCAGGCGGCGGCAATCCCGGCGGACAACCAGGTAGCTAACATATAATCGTTATTCATTTATTATGTAAATTCTATGTTGACACGGTGGCTGGGCAATCGGCTGCCGTGCAACTCCCGCACGAAATTGTATTTGTGTGATTTACAAATTTTTGTTTCGGGTCTGGGTGTGATGTGTATGTGAAATTATATGTTTGTAAATGCACCCACAAACCTAAAGTGAAGAAAAAAAAACTGACTTAATACTTCCTAATAATTGATCTGTTTTAATACATCTTAAACTCGTGATATTTATAACCGACTTTAAAAAAAAAGATTGAGGTTCTCCATTCCTCGGGATATTTTTTATACGACTAATTCTTAAGTCCTTTTCACAATCGGGCATGTCTTTTTAGGCGGCGGTAATCCAGGTCAACCAGGTAAATGACATTATTGTTTTACCATTATTTAAAAACCTGTCTTTTAAAATCAATCAATGGTTAAGCTAATTAGAACTGATTGATAATTAGACTGCACGGTTGGTGCGGTAGCTGGGCAACTGGCTGCCGTACAACGTGTAGCGGGTTCAATTCCCGCACGGAACAACTCTTTGTGTGATCCACAAATGGTTGTTCCGGGTCTGGATGTCATGTGTATGTGAAATTGTAGTGTGAGGTTTAATCAGAAAAGAAAAAATTAAATAAAATAAAACAAATCATATAGAAAAAATCTTAAATATTTCTCACAAACGTGTTTTTTTCAGGCGGTGGCAATCCTGGCGGTCAACCAGGTACAATAGGGCATCATCGTCATCATCATCATCATCATAAGTTCTTTCCATTTTAGCCAATAGGATACCTATGAATGCACCCATAATCATATTATTCGGACTAATCTAACTGTATATAAAAGATAATAATCTAATAATAGGTATTTATAAAATTCTCGTGTCACAGTTTTCGTTGCCATACTCCTCCGAAACGGTTTGATCGATTTTGATGAAATTTTTTGTGCTTATCCGGTATCTATGAGAATCGGCCAACAACTATTTTTCTTCCCCATAAATGTTAGGGGTAGTCCACCTTTAAACTTTTTTTTCACACTTGTACCATAATGTACTATTTTTTCAGGAGGTGGCAAGCCCGGAGGTCAACCAGGTACGTAAGGCACACTCTTATTGATGGTTGACGACCATCTACCGACGACCCGAAATTATGAGGATGGTCATCAACCATTTAGGCGTTTAGCTACCAATATTGATGCAACCATAATCATATTTGACTTTCTAGATATAAGCTTATTTAATGCATTTATTATTACTTGAATCTGATACATTGACTAATTATAGTAGAATAATTACCTTAATATAGATATGACATTATCGGCCTAAAATTAATTTCAACTTACCACACCTTTATCGTCAGTCGTAATTATTATTTTATTAGTTAGGTTTTTATTTTTCTGACGTTTTTGTTCTTTTCTTAGGTGGCGGACGGCCCGGTGGACGACCAGGTAAATAAGGAATCTGTGGACAAACATACTTTTAAATGGCATTAACAATATCGTTTTTAAAACAGTTGTATATTTTTTTTATTTAAAAAGAAACTTTTGCTTATAGAAACTAGCTTTTCCCGGCGACTTTGTTCGCGTGGAAAAACTAATTTAATGTCCTTTCTCGAATTCAAATTATGTCTGTACCAAATTTCACACAAATAGGTTCAGTAGTTTAGACGTGAAAAAAAGACAGACAGACAAACAGACAAGCAGAATTACTTTTGCATTTATTATATTAGGTAGATTCACTATGAAAAAAATATAGTATTTTAGATTTATTGTTATTTGAAATTTGATTGACTATGACATTTTCATCACGTGAAAATAAATATTTCACCTTTAAAGAACTTTTTATTTACTTGCTTCTGTTTCAGTTGGCAATCCTGGAGGACAACCCGGAGGTAAATATATTTTTTACTAGTTGATGCCAACTTGCTTACAATTTCTCCCTATTTTAATATTTAGACCAACATAATGATGCATTCTTCAAAGCTTAATTGCATTTATACATATTGTTGATTACATTATCTAAGTAAAATTTATTTTGTCTTATTTCATCTTCATTAACACTCGTTATTATTTTATGAGAAAGGTTTTTTTCTGACGGTTATCTTTTTTTATTTTTAGGCGGTGGCAAACCCGGTGGACAGCCAGGTACTAGAGATTCAGATCAGAATCATCGTCAGATTGATGTCAATCCTCATTATTTCTCCCTATACTATATCTAAGTCTATTTTTAAAATCATGGCCGAATCAAGCAATTTATTGACAGTTGAATTTATTGTCCGTTTACAAGTCCAAAGATTGTCAGCTTGTATTGGAATTGATTATAAGAACATCCGTCAATAATTGTTATAACACATTATGAATCAAGTCCTAAATATAATTTTATTTTTAGGTGGTGGTAACTCCGGCAGGAAACCAGGTATCATCATTACTACTTTATGTGAAGTTTATCACTATTTCTTATTCTAATCAGTGGATCAAGAAACTGTTGCAGTATTGATAAGCATTGCTAAAAATATTAACAGATTTTCGTTGTGAACCTCTTTAAAATTTAAGTAATCTTACGTTGATCCTTTGTAGTAAATTCATTCAATTTACGTTCTAAATTATCTATTTTTCAGGCGGTGGTAATCCTGGCCGTCAACCAGGTACACTTGTCATCATTATCAGAACCTGATCGCTGACTATCATCAGAATATCATAAAAAAATCATTTTTTTTAAACTTTGCTTATATTTTTCTTGAGCTTATGTCGATACTAAACCTTGAATCGACTTGCTTATTATATTATTGGTTGAATATGAGTTAAAAACTTATTGTCTTGGTTTCAGGTGGTGGCAAGCCTGGTAGAAGGCCTGGAGGTAATCATTATCATCATCTAAGTTTCATACAACCTACTTGTAATTTTTTCTTATCTCAAACTTGAAATTCGTGTGCATTAGTGGGTTTTAGCTGATACTCAAAGATTCCTCAACTTAATCAAAAGGTTATGTCGTTTCTTAGCCACCATGCCAATCGTGTGATTAATGCACAATGTATTTGATACAACAAAATTTACTCTGAAATAGTTCTTGATTGCGATAGGTATACACAATCATTATTACAACAATCGGTTTAACGGGAACTAAGAAGATGAAACCTTTGTCAAACCCCAATTTTAAATGTATCCTATATCTATCAATTAAGTTAAATTATCATTGCAGTTAAAATTCATTAGGTTAAAATGTCGAGAACCAACTTAAAGACTAATTTACTATTGACTATATACATACTTCTTTAGTAAGACTAATAGGGAACTTTTTATACTAAAGTATAATTTTCTATTACTTATGCTTCTGTGCTTCTTCAGGTAAACGCCCTGGTCACAAGAAGAATAAACGCCCATCTGGAAATCCAGGTACACTACTCATAGCTAGAAAGAAATAATACTAAAATTTAATCTTAAATACTCTTAAATTAAGAACAGAAATATATCTATACTAAATAATATATGTATGTATATATATTATCACTCTTTACAATACAAAAACATTATTTTGTCATTACATCTTATTTCTCCAGTCACCTTCAGGAATTTATATCATATTGAAGTATCGACTACTTCAGGTCAATCCATCAATTGCAAAGACCAGTCTCAATATGCACAATAAATGTATTTAAAGAAAAAACAATTAAAATTTGTTTATTGCAGGTGGACCCAATCCCCCTCCTCCTAGACAGCCAGGTAAAGTATTCTAAATTTTAATAAAAACTCACTATATATCACAATGGGATGACATAACTAATAAACATAAGTTTTAAAAGGCACAAAATGTTCAATTGAGCTAGGCAGTGACGATTTCCGGTTGAATATAGAGGTGATAATATTTTTAATGCGATAGTGCGGCAAACGAACCGCATGGACACCCGCAACAACAGAGGAGTTACGAGTGCATTGCCAAGCTTGATTTGGAGATTAATGGATTCAGGGAGGGGATGAATTGAGATATTTTATGAAGTTAGTAATATTCTATGTTTTTTGTTGCAGGCAATGGTGGCGATTCTTCTGGCATCCAAGCTCCAAAGCAATCACAATCTGTATACGTTACCCAATATCAAGAAGGTAAGAAGGAAAGTTCTGGATAAAAAAGACCAGTATTTTCCTTATTTTCTTGATATTTATTTATTCATAAATACTTGATCTTAACGATAACGCTTTGTGGGGATAAAAACATTTGAAAAACGACGTTAATAGAGTCATAATAAAGTCAAGCTGCCACTAGATCTACTTTTGTTAATAGAATCACTTAACATCACTTGGTACAAAATACAGCTACTCTTAATCCGCAATTTTTGAAAAAAGTAATCCTTGTATTTTCGTTACAGGCAAATAAGCTAGCAAACAGGATGTTCCAGATTCTAGAAATGGTAAATATGTTTTATATACAAACGGTAGTTTAGAAAATTTTCTTATATAAATAAGTTAAGTTAAGTTAATAATTAGACCTTTTCACTCATAAGAATTAAGAAAACCTTAAATTATTAATACCAAAGGTATTTGAGTATAATTCTACCTTTTGAATGTTCAATAATAAATAAGAATTTAATAGGTGGAATTAAGAAGAATTATCTTAACCTCTGAAATATTTGTTACAGACAGCGGTGTTCCAGTTAATCGGCTATTTTGATAATAATGTGTGTCTTACAAAATTTATTAGGCAAGAAATGTTCAGTTGTTTTTATTCGCAAATTTTTATTTGGCTCAAATAAATATTTTTTGGCATTTCCTTGTTTTTTTTCTAAATGGTTAGTAGGTACCCACACTTTGAAAATTATATTCAAGAATAAGGTAGAATGAATAGTTGTACGATCGTTTACTTCAAACTACTTACTGGGAAAAGATTATTCTGACTATCGAAGCTCTTTATTATTTGATTAAGTCTTTACACTATTACAGAGCATTTCAGTCACTTAAGTTAAATCCCTTTTGATCTGAGAAAGAACTAGTGATTTCATACGAGCTTGATTGACACGGCACCGTTTACACTCAACGATTTTTCATCGCCACACAGTGACAAAGGCAAAATAGTTCATTTTGCATAGATAACGTGATCGAATCGTAATCGAAAGGTATAAATGTATCAGCAACTATGTAATGCTAAAAGCCTAAGTATTACCTATTTATTAGGTTAATCAGCTTTGCAGTTTTTAATTCGCATTTGCTTAGTAAAGTCGTTTCTTTCACAATGGAGTATGAATACAAATCCTATGACGAATTAAAGCAAGATTTCTTGGGTGAAATGGACTTCATCAGTAACCTTGGTATCAAAATGTTCATTTATCCCTTCATCGGTCGTTCTAAAATGATTATGTACTGTTTCTATTTCACGTATGGTCTCTTGTTCCTCACATCTGCTCAGCTAATCGTCACCCTTTGTATTATTTGCATTAAGAACTTTGATTGGTTTGAGATCATCAACGTCGCTCCTAACATCGGAGTTTGCCTTATGATCTTAATTAAATATAAAAAAATCAACGATAACAAAGAGCTTTACAATCAAATCTTCAAACATTTCCGATTCGATTTATGGGAAACAGTTTTTGATACCGAAAAACACAAGAAGATTTTGAATCAGTACACGAAGACTACAAGGTTGATCTTGAGATTTGAGTTCTATTACACTATTGGCCTTGCTATCATTGTCGATTTATTTCCAAGGATCATTATGATTTACCAAAACGATATTGTTGGTATGGAAAAACTGTATTTGTACCCATTCGATGGCTGGTATCCTTTTGATAAGATTGAATGGTACAACGCTGCCTACATTTGGGAAAGTTTTATGACTACTGTCGTCATCTTTATCTACGTTTTCGTCAATATGCTTCATATTTCTTTCACTCGGTACATTTGCATGGAGTTGAAAATCCTTGGCAGTACTATGGAGGACCTTTTTACTGATGACGACGTTGTTAAAATAAAAAAAGGCAGAGAGGTAGCAAAAGTTCACAAAAAAATTAGCAACAAATTAAAATTTATCATTAGTAAACATCAGTATCTAGCCAGGTAACCTAACTATTTCAGTGTCTTTTAGAAGTTTTGTGTATAAGACTATAAAATTTATAAAATTTATTTCTTTACAGAATTACATCTGATTTAGATAAAGTACTAGGAGATGGGATGTTCCTAACATATATGTTTGGCTCTGTATTCATCTGCTTAACAGCGTTCACAGCTACAGTAACAACTTTGTCTTTAGATAACATTTTATCTTTAATTGTCTTGTATTTGTTAAATCTTCTATTCGTTTCTTTTCCAGGTTGTAGATGATCTGTATAAATCTATGCGATATTTTTCTTTCTTCTGTTCTCTACTTGTGGAAGTGTTTTTTCAATGCATAATGGGCCAACTACTTATTGATCACGTATGCTTTTTGCATTTATTAACTTGTAACTCTGCTATATGTTTTGAATTATCTTCAGTTATATAACAATTGATAATTGTGTTAAGTTTTGATGAGTATATTTATTGGTTCTAAGAATGATTCATTATTTGTTCCCTACCTTTGCAAAATTTACTAGTTCAAACATATGGTTGTATCTTCTTCCAGAGTAACAAACTGGAGAAAGCAATATACTTCGCCGATTGGGTGTATGCTGATAATGCAACGAAGAAAATGCTTTTGATTTTCTTGATACGTTCTCAAAAACCTTTTGAATTCAGCGCCAAAGGGTACTTGACTATGAATCTGGATACTTTTAGTGGGGTTAGTTATATAAAAAACTAAACAATTCACAAATGTACAACATGTATAAAGTTTTATATATATATATATATATTTTTCTTTCAGATCTGTAGCCTCTCCTACCAATTTTTCAATTTATTACGCACTGCATATTCAGAATAATTTGACAAAATACAAAGGATAAATAAAAATGCAATACTTTTCGACGGACAAATGGTGATAATACAATATTTTTCGCAACACATTTCCTGCTTGTTTAATTTTAATAAATTTTAAATCACTGTCTGAAAATTGTATTTTTTTAAACCAAATAACTCTAATAATTGATATTCTAAATTAAAAACAGTTAAGCATCATTGCAGCAAACCCACGCGACGAACGTTAAGCATGTTGTTCATAAGTAGTATTCGTAGATCAAAACAAGTATTCAATTCCAAAAAAACTAAATGATAAGCTAAAGTTATGTTTACGTCTCTTCAGCCTCATGATTATGCTGTTAGCCCCAAAGCTTATAGAGGCAGTTTATTAGCAACATATCCGTAACCTACCCTATAGGCAAAAATTGAAGTAAACTACAAGCATTAAAGAAAACACAGTTGAAACAAGGTAAAATGGATTCAATGTGAGATCCAGTTATGAATATTTGTGAAGTGATTCCCACGAAATAAGGACGGCGGGAGAACGAGTTTCGCTGAGCGGGAAACGACTTCGTATATTGAAATCGACCCCATAAAGACAAGATGTCTACATTCATATCGAGAGACTACGTGAAAAATAGGCGTATCGAGACTGTATTCTGACTGCATAATATCATTTACACTCTATACAGAAACAAATATTCGACTTTATTTCTGTTTTGTTAAAGTAAGTTTTGGAAAAATCGACATAGTAAATAAGCTAGTTACGATATGAATACGTTTGGTAAGTAATAATTCGGATGATAACGATTTAGTCTAGTAACTTCCAAAATGGTTTAGGTGGACTCCTAGAAAAATCGTAAGCCCTGGGTCTATGAATGAATGGATTTGCTTTGAGTAGTAAAGAATTAAAATATTGGCTTGACTTCACCTATCAATATATGCTATTTTAGGCAATGTAGATTCTAAACAAGTGAGATTTCATTTTCTAATCTTTCTTATTTTTATTATTAATAATTTCAATTTCTAATTAGTATCAGCAATCCGAATTTAAATAAGTTTTTTGATATTGAGCTGGTGGCAGTTCGTAGCACGGTTCTAAAAATCTCCCATTAAGTATTGTAGGTAGTAGGTAGTAGGCCTTGGCAGCAGTGTTGATAAAAAATCGAACTGGTCTTTAAAACGGGTGTTAAACTGTGCATTTGACGGTTTTATTAAAAGCATTATATGAAACCGTTAAATGTACAATTTATGATGATGACTCGTAATTGGGGACGAACCACTTTTTAGCAATAAGTATAGGCTTTTGTGTAATGAAATAATGACTTCTCTCGCTCAGGCAGGGTTAGGCAGAAGGGGTGTCACACTCTTACTGATTTTAAAACGCCCCCACTTCTTATCCTGCTTTGGCCGAAGTCGCGTTGCTGACGCTTGCCCCGCCACCCCGGCAGAACATCAGCCCTGTTAGGCTCAATCCTCAAAGAGCGAATAGTGGTCTACTGGCTCTTTTTTGTGAGGGGAAAATCATCAAATGACTTTTCCCGTCCGGAGTCGACACTTACTGACTAAAAACCTCCCGTTCCTTCTCCGATGACTCAATGCGCTTATCCCGCAACCCCGGCTGATTATCGGCCCTATTAGGCACCATATGTAGTGGTCAAATGGCTCTTTGAGAGGCGCGCGAAACGCTTCGCGCCGCACGCTCGGGTCTGGTTCTGGTCGGGCAGTGAGCTGACCCTTACTCGCCTTCCCTGACCCTCGTTTAGCTAGAGATCGTCGCTCGATCACCGATACTTAAAAGCAGGCTAATTGTACCTATTGTTTGTCACGTCTTACAATTAAAATTGGTGACTGCTAAATCAAAAACATGCAACAGATTAACTGCCGTGATAATCCATGAAGTACGTACATGTTATTATAACGATTTAGTTAGTTTGAATTATAATGAAAAAGTATCACGATGACTATAAAAAATCGGCCAAAGGTGACTCAGAATCGCAAAGAAGGGTTCCGTAAGAAGTTTTTATGGAAACCCGCTCAAATTTACTTTGCTTTGTATACATTGTTAGACAGGCGATAGGAATACAATCACCCATGACACACGCATACACCTAAGCTATCAAGGTTTATGAAACATAACCTGGTAGTAGACACAAATAAAAGTAATTGAAGAAACATAGCACATACTATCCTGACAAACTACCGAAACATCGTCTTATTCATCTAAATTAATGAATAAAATTGTTTTATCATCATCTACATCGCCTTCCACAAGTCATAATTATCCCACTGCTGGGAAAATGAAACAATAAGAAGGGATAAGCATTAATCACCACTCATACTACAAGGACAATTTGCGATTCCAAACTTATAATTAGGAATTTAAAGCCAGATTTTACTCACTATCTATCAAATAACTTAAAAAGTCATACTGATACTTGAAGAGAAGAAGAGATATTGCTTCAGTTGGCTAACATACTGTTTTATCATTACTTATAAAAAGTTGTCAGGCGTCTGGATAACGCCGGACAATGACAGCTTTAGCTTATTTTGATTGCCAGTCTGATTGAAATTATGACCAGCCGGACTCCAAGCCTACGTTACAATTTGCGTTCACTAAAGAAAAAATTTTAACCAAGCCGTGTCTGTCGCTCTTAAGCGGTCGCAACTTGCAGGTCGGTCCGGCAGAAATATATTTTGACACATAATTCTAAATACTCGGTAATTATACATGCAATCCCCATAATAATGATTTCAAAAATAAAATGGTAAAAGCATCAATTTTGCTGGGGTTATGGGTCAAGCGCAATAAGACACCGCAAACCCAACCCGGAGCAGGAAAAGGATCGGGTGGTTTATAGGCAGTGAAAGTCTGACACGTCCTCTACTCCCATCTAGGACGAGAGAACTCACATTGCTTTTTGAACTTGACGTCTTGGCTTGACTTGTAACTCTTTGAACATAAAAAATCTTATTTGGTTTACCAAATAACTTTTTACGTCATAGAGTGTCAATCATGCATACAGCAGCAAGACATGACGTTAAGCAATCGATGCCACACAAGGACACTGAAATAGTCAAATGCGTTGCCAGCCTTATGGGGATAGAGATTTGAGGATTAGTGATTGGGAATGGATGGATTAAGACATTGGTTCACCTTTCTTCCTTCTTCTGTACAGTGGTCGGGTCCCAGGGGGTTTTAGCCATATGGCTGACTTGTGGGTATGGCACAATCTCTGACGAGGGGGGATCTGAAGGCGAAGGCACGTATCAGTTTGCGCGGCAAATTAATGCAACGATTATCTCAACCGTAAGTCGGACTCGCTGTTATTGGAGTAGTAAGACCCCCTTTGATTTTTTTATTGGCTAGCGAGACGCCACGGAATCTTTAATGGGCATGGAAATTTCGGAGATACCTGTTCAAATACAACTGGATGAAATATCACTATGAGGATCACCTGGAGGACATGGTGGAGCATACGGTTGCAGTGGGCCCTGCTTGGTCTGAGCACTGCCTGCCCTTTTTTGTGAGGGGAAAATCATCAAATGACTTCCCCCGCCCAGGCTGACTGTCAGCCTCTTACTGAATAAAAACCCCCCTTCTCCTGCTTTAGGCTGAGGCCGCGGTGACTTATTACGCTTACCCCGCAAGCCCGGCTGTACAACAGCCCCATAGTGGGGACAGGTGGACTAATTGGCTCGTTAAGGCGAACGCAGAACGCGACGCCTCCTCCTTTGCTTGCATCACTGCAGCACTACCTGCCCTGATGACACAATCAGGGACGCCATCAGCAGCGGCAACCCTGGCCTTAGTCAAGGATACAGTGCGAAGCGAAAGGAACTGGAATGCCGTTTCCTCCTGCGAAGTCACATTTGCAAAGATGGAGGCGAAGTGCATATGGAAAATATCCTCATCTTCCAAGTACGAGCTTTTTTGTTATTTTTTGTAAGTATCATTTTCATAAAGAGTAATTTTTAAATATCACAAAAAATTTATCAAACTATGTTAACAACAATCGTTGCAGTAATTAGTAAATTGATAAAACTTTATTAAATGTACCTACACATGTCCGTTTTAATGTTAAACAAAATCACGATTTAACTTTTATAGCATATTTATTGTTTTATTTTCACTTATAATAAGTGGTCAGTGGAAACTGAAACCAGTTCAGTCATTTCGGTGGAGAAATGGGTACGGATCACTGGACTTTGGCCTTATTGGTCCTTTTGCCTTCGTGTTTATTGGGGAATCCTATAGGTAAGTTGTCTATTTATTTTTTTATTTTAAATTTGAATTTGGACAGCACGGTTGGCGTGGGGGTTAGGCAACTGGGTACCGCGCGACTAGTCGTGAACACGATTTTTTCACGAACAAGTTTTTGTTCCGAGTCTAGATGTATGTTTGTAACCACACAGGAGAAAACACTAATGTGAAGCAAAGTTTTGAAAAAATTAGTAACTCTTTTTTTTATCTTAATTTTGAAATTATAGTATTGTTTTGTTTTTATTTATTACTTGAAATTCTAAGTGATATTTAAGTTGAAGTACACCTATGTCCAGTATACCTATATGTATAATATGTGTACCTACGCAGCGAAGAAACTTAATTTGGTATTTAACCGGAACAATCCTTTACCACCCAGATAGGAGTTTATTCTGGTAGCAATCCTGTCCAATGCGCTAAATTAGTAATTCAACCGACTAACTAGTTTGTTAGTTGGATTAGTAACAGTTCAGTTACTTGGCTGCGATACATACACTAAGTTAATCAATAATTATTTTCTTTCAGGCGATGACGCGACTGGTTCAGCTGCTCTATCCGCAACACGTAATATTGATTTTATTACCCTTATAACTTCAATTTAAAAACAAATGAACTATCTATCAACACAAATCAATCGCTGAAAATTATGTTTGTGTATATCTCTAAAATAGCCGTACTAAATTAGGAATCGTCATTCGTTGTTCCTCCCGGACCAAAATTAGTTGTCCGGTAGTTGGAATAACGTTGTCTTGTCGTTGTTTATTGGTTTGTATACAAAGATATAAAAAAATGAAAACCATATTTTAGGATGCTAGTTACTCCATGACGGTATCTGATAGAATATTATTATAAGCTGTGAACGACGGTAACCGTTATTTCAAAATAAAGAGGACTTTTATTTGATTCTATTAAAATGTGAACTTAATCAGGAGAAACATGCATGATATAACACACCCAAATACACACATTAATGACCTAATATTTGTGTACTTATGCTATAAGAGGTATATAACGTTTATTATTACTTTAACTTTAAGTTGGACTATAATATGTACGTTGAGTTCTTTTACAGTGGGACTTCGTGGTTTAGCTGAGTCAAATGCATATTCAACGGCTTTAACACATGGAGGTGAGTAATTCATATGTTATTCTGCACAACATTCAGTTTTCTAATAATTTAATTAAGTTTGTTTGCTCGGTAAAATGCTCGCGTGCGATATTGTTGTAACATGTCACCAAGGAGTTTAGTTACAAATGCAATATCGATTTTATAAACGATATCTCATAAAGAACAATTATATTTTAAAAGTAATTGGCCTCATAAAATACAAATGTTCGCTGTATCTGCATAGCATTCTCATGAAAGTTACTGTTTACCTTTTCGAAGGTCTCACTTTGGTAGTGTACAAGCTTCCAGTATACGGCACTTGGATGTACATTTACAGATATAAAATACTCACAATAAACAAAATAATGACTTGAATCAAATGAGAAAAATTCGACTATTTTCAAGTCACAAGGGGGCTCTTATTCACGAGGTTGTCTCTGAATGTACCTTCTAAACAAATTTTGAAGATTAGGTATGTTAAAAATAAAAAACAACAATAAAAAAATTAATCTATAAATTCAACATAGGTCATCAAAACCAAAAAAATAATAAACATTTTAAAACCACAGGACGCAGAGGTGGTGACGGTCTTGCAGAATCCGGTTCATTTTCGAATGTATTAACACATGGAAGTAAGTTTTTTTAATTCATTATCAAAAAAGTATTTTAAATAGCTGTTTACATTTTATGAATTTGAATTTTTTATTGGTTAGCTATTTATGTTTTTATAAATAATTATATAAGTACCTACTAAAAATATAACTTCAATCAAAGTTGTATAAAGTAACTTCAATGTCGTGGTTCGGGTTTATGACGAGTTCCCGAATCGTACCCGGTATGTGTCAATGAGTTTACCCATTGTAACTTAATAAAAAAAAAGTACGGCACAGGCAAAACTATGTGTTATATTAAACATGTACGGCTTATCCTTTTATAGGAAGTCATAATATTATTTTTAATGTCTTTTACAGGAGGTGGTGGTTTAGCCACGTCAGGTTCACATTCAAGTTCTTTGACTCACAGAGGTAAACATATCCTTCTACAGATATGTACCTATACATACTAATATTGTCAACAAAGAAACAATATTTGGTTTCCATCAAAGTAAATGGAAAAAAAAACTTTCGATATAGGGGATTTAATTAAAAAAAAATACTCGAAAGCTTACTACTAAAGGTACTTTATACTCAGATTACTTTTTGGCTAAATTATCCTACGATATCGGCACTTACTTGAAATAAATCTTTGGAATTCTACTAGGGCAGAAAGCTATGTCAAACCGAAAAATGTTTACATAACTATGCAATGTATATAATAAGTATCAAAAATATAATAAATTGATTACAATCATAAATCTTTACAGTTCGAGTTTTATTCGTATGTTTTCGTTAAAAGATGTGATTATAAAAATATTTTTGTACTTTGCAGGTAAAAGTAAATCGAAATCAAATGGATTTGCACATTCATTATTAGATCCGAGAAGTAAGTTTATTGAAATTTGCGTATTTATTCTTACAAAAATATCATTATTCTTACGTAAATGTTGCAGGAAGGATGTACTTGTATTTCTGATACAATACAATCAAACAAAAATAATATTGTGCTTTGATGTTTTTTAGCATTTTTCAGCAATTTATAGATAATATGTGTATTTGTGTCACAAAACGTCGAATACATAAAAAAATATAGAAGCAATTCTTATTTTTTTCTTTAATATTTTCAGGAGGCGGACACAATGGTGCTCAAGCGTATTCAAGTGCTAACAGTAGTAAGATATTGTATTACTTATCATAAAAATTGTTGACGGCATTATTTAATTTAAAAACATATTAATATCTGATTACTTCATTAAATTTCAGATAGCTACGGTGGCAATGCGAACTCTTATACAGATGTTCTGACAAGTCTAGGTAAGATTAGTTTAAGAAGATTATTAATTAAATTTATCGAAGGTTTGCAACACACATAATACACACTTTTGTTACACAAATATTTCTTGTACTTGTACACAGGGTGACATTTTGGACAAGGGATATGATTTAAGGAGTCGATTTATTGCGGTCAAATAAAAAACCGTATCCCATTAGACCAATACAGAAATCTCAATTTCTCATCAATATGATGGAAATAAATTTATTTTTAACATTTCGATATTGGTCTCTTGGAAAAATTATTTGTTACTGGGCACCAAAACCGGCTCCTTGATTGTAATACTCGTTCAAAATGTCACCCTACATTTTTAATAGTGTACAAGTGTATGCGATATGGTGGCCAACGAATAAACGGTTCACGCGATGGCAGGCGATCAGCGCCGGCGCCGCTCATGCCAATTGATCGCCATTAGGAATTACAAAAGCGTTACCACACTTTTAAACCCTAGTGTTGTCATCATTTGGTTCCTTTTCGAAGAAAAATAAACATGATACAATTTTACATGTTTAAATATCTGAAAAAAATGTTAATAGTACAATTTAAAAAACACACTTGCAATTAAAAAAAACTAAATATGTTCTAGGAGGCGGAGATTCTACACAGGCAGGTTCATATTCGAATGCGGCAAGTGGAGGAGGTAATTATATTTTATTAATCACACCCTCAAGAAGGTCTGAACTCTTTAGTGTTTTATCAATAGGTATCATGTAAGTAAGTACATATAAGTGTCGCCCAGAAATAAAACAAATGACAATTTAAACGATATAAGAAACTTTGCCGTTGCGAAATGCTATCATATGAATAAACCATAGTAAAATAAGATAGGTACAAAATAAAAAAGTCCTTTTAAAAATTACAATAAGTCATTTTTTTACAGGAGACGGAGATGGTTCAGTACAGACTGGAGCTTATTCGAATGCTGCAACTAATGGAGGTAAGATTGTAATAACTTTGGAGGAATTAAAAATAATAACAATAATATATAAAAGTCTTAGGTCATAATATACATATTGGATATAAATTCCAAATTTATTGTTACAGTATTATTACATCATTTGATTTATGAAAATTGGCTCAGTCTGAATTTAGTTAATATATTCGCAGGAGGCAGGGGTGGTTCAGCACAATCGGGTGCTTATTCCAGTGCTACCAACAAAGGTATTTTGTTTAATTGGAAATTCAAATAATTTATGTTGTATGAAACTAGTGACCCGGCCCAGCTTTGCACGGATGCATTGCTGATACTAAATTTGCTCACTACTTAACCTTAAAATCGTGGTATCCGAGACATAATAGAAGAACAATAGGTACGCGAACGCCGGCGCTCGCTTGAAGTTTGATGTATTAATGAACAATTTGTCTTTTTCAATTTGTATTTTACATAATATGAGTCGCGGAGAGCCAATGGATGCAGGTGGCAACTTGTCGTTCGGCGTGGAGGACTGAGGGCCTTTGTCCAGCAGCCGGCTGATGATGAAGTTGATGACGAGTACTAACATAAAACACATAAATTAGTAATGAAAAATGTGAAACTGAAATGTAATTTTACAGGAGGCAGGGGAGGTGCAGCAGAGTCAGGAGCATACTCCAATGCTATGACCAATGGAGGTAAAGATTTTGCATATTAAGTAAAAGCATATTTAAATATATTGTATAGAGTAGCATGGGTTTAATGAGGCGTCTCAGGGGCGTGAAATAATTTCCGACACACGATCAACAGTAAAAAATAATATATTGAGGCACTTTACAAGAGTAAACTCACAGTAATATACACAATGGTTCAAAGTTCGCGGCACAAATACAGGGCTCGTGCGTTACGGTCACCGGCGCCGACTCACTCCCGTTTTGCGCCTACGCAAGCGTCAAGCGGTCAGTGGCGGGGTAGTGGAAATGGGGTGTGGCGTTGCCTATAACGCGACGTACATGCGTCCTATACGAATTGTAAAATGAAATTTAAATTGAAAATATCTGAAACTTTCAGGCAGAGGAGGTGGTTCAGCTCAATCCGGGGCATACTCCAATGCTATGAACAACGGAGGTAAAGGTTTTGTATTAAAACATAGATCTGAATATATTGTAAAATTAAATTTAAACAGAAATTACGTAAAATACTTGAAACTTTCCAGGAAAAGGAGGTGGTTCAGCTCAATCCGGGGCTTACTCGACTGCTATGAACAACGGAGGTAAAAAAATTTGTATTTAAAAGTGCATTAAAATATATTGTTAAATTAAATTTAAACTGAAGTTAGGTAGCTAAAATATCTGTATCTTTTCAGGAAGAGGAGGTGGTTCAGCTCAATCCGGGGCTTACTCCAATGCTATGAACAACGGAGGTAAAGATTTTGTATTAAAAAGTATATCTAAATATATTGTGAAATTAAATTTAAACTAAAGTTAGGTAGCTAAAATATCTGACACTTTTCAGGAAGAGGAGGTGGTTCAGCTCAATCCGGGGCTTACTCCAATGCTATGAACAACGGAGGTGAAGATTTCAAAATATTAAAAATGATATCTAAATATATTGTGAAATTCAAAGATAAAGTCAAATTATTTATTATTTCAAATAGGCACTTATACATATAAAATCAAAAGGTTTTGCTGCTTTATGGGTGTCAGTCTGCCCGCCTATTCACTAGTGAAGCTATGTGCTCGTTCCAAAGTGTAGATTCTTATGGAGAAGAACGAGCAAAAAACTCTATGGTTACTCTTTTTCAATCAGTTTGACAATTTATTGGTCAATTTAATTTAACTAAAGTTTATAAAAACAAATTGGAACTTTTCAGGAAAAGGGGGTGGTTTAGCTCAATCCGGGGCTTATTCCAATGCTATGAACAACGGAGGTAAAAAATTTATATTTAAAAAACATTTAAATATATTGTAAAATTAAATTTAAACTGAAGTTACGTAAATATCTGACACTTTCCAGAAAAAGGAGGTGGTTCAGCTCAATCCGGGGCTTACTCGACTGCTATGAACAAAGGAGGTAAAATTATAATAAATAGCGATTATTTCACACAACGATATAACTTTTTAATCCTACTATCTTACTATAGTACTATCCTTCTATCCTACTATCCTACTATCCTACTATCCTACTATCCTACTTCTTACTATCCTACTATCCTACTATTCTACTATCCTACTATCTTACTATCAATCTACTCTACTGTCTCCTATCATAGTTATGTTATAAATGTGAAATGGCTCTCCCAAATCAGAAAATATACTAAAAAATGGGTTTTAAAACGAAAACCAAAACACGATTCTATTGAAACTGAACTCTACAAAAACAAACAAATTTAAAACTTTACAGGAAGAGGAGGAGGTTCAGCACAGTCTGGAGCGTACTCGAGTGTTTTGGCCAATGGAGGTTAGAAATTATTATTTTAGAAATCAAAAAATACAAACTAATATTTAAAAAAGTTAATGCTGTTGGTTCACCGCACTAAATCTTGAAAACTACTAAGTCCGATTTGGCTTATTTTGGTCTTCAAATATTTGTGGAAGCCCAGGAAAGCTGTAAAAGATCAGAAAACATTAGTGAATTTTTTAGTTAGCTAGTAAGAAAATAAATTGAAAAATAAATAACGTAGCAATACCATAAACGTTACAGGAAGAGGTGGTTCTGCACAATCAGGAGCTTACTCGAATTCTATGTCTAATAATGGTAAAATATAATATCTACTAAATACGAAAATATTTTTTTATGAAATTACTATTGAAATTACATGTAAAATTGTGAATTTACAGGAGGCAGGGGTGGTTCGGCACAGTCTGGAGCATACTCCAATGCTATGGCTAATGGAGGTATAGAACTTATGCTTACAAAAATATAATAAAACATATTTGGCTGCACGGTTGGTGTAGTAGCTGGGCAACGTGTCAAGGGTTCGGTTCGCACGGAATAACATTTTGTGTGATCCACAAATTGTTGTTTCAGTTCGGTTTCTGGGTGGTTTGTGTGTGTAAATTTGTATGTTTGCACGTAAGGAAACGTTTTTTTTATTAAAACAAAACAAACACTTATAATTCTTTAGGAAAAGGCGGTGGTTCAGCACAGTCCGGAGCGTACTCAAGTGCATTGATTAATGGAGGTAAAAATGTTTTATAAAAGCACAAATATAAACTTAAGTTAATATCAAGAGAAACGAAATAAAAAACCTCAAAATTTCGCAGGAAAAGGAGCTGGTGTAGCACAATCAGGAGCGTACTCAAGTGCTTTGGCCAATGGTGGTAAAAAAAGTTTTATAAATACACAAAACTAATCTTAAATTAATATCAAAGTGAAAAGAATTGAGAAAAACCTATAAATTTCGCAGGAAAAGGAGGTAGTTCAGCACAATCAGGAGCGTACTCAAGTGCTTTGACCAATGGAGGTAAAAAAATGTTTTATAAAAGCACAAAGTTAATCTTAAATTAATATCAAAATGAAACTAATTGAGAAAAACATTTACATTTCGCAGGAAAAGGAGGTGGTTCAGCACAATCAGGAGCGTACTCAAGTTCTTTGACCAATGGAGGTAAAAAAATGTTTTATAAAAGCACAAAGTTAATCTTAAATTAATATCAAAATGAAACTAACTGAGAAAAACATTTACATTTCGCAGGAAAAGGAGGTGGTTCAGCACAATCAGGAGCGTACTCAAGTGCTCTGACTAATGGAGGTAAAAAAATGTTTTATAAAAGCACAAAGCTAATCTTAAATTGATATCCAAGTAAAACAAAGTAAAATATCTACAAATTTCGCAGGAAAAGGTGGTGGTTCAGCACAATCAGAAGCGTACTCAAGTGCTATGAACAACGGAGGTAAAGATTTTGTATTTAAAAGTATATCTAAATATACTGAACTAAAGGATGTAAAAAAAGGTTTTATAAAAACACAAAACTAATCTTAAATTGATATGAAAGTGAAACATAGTGGTAAACCTATAAATTTTGCAGGAAAAGGAGCTGGTGTAGCACAATCAGGAGCGTACTCGAGTGCTTTGACTAATGGAGGTAAAGTTGTGTTCTCGAGGCCTACAAAAAAAATTAAAAAAAAAATACCATTAAAATATCTGAAACTTTACAGGTGGCAAGGGTGGTTCAGCTCAGTCTGGAGCATACTCCAGTGCCATGAATAATGGAGGTAAAATAATAATAACAAATAGTTCTTATTTCACACAACGATTTAACCAAATAATCCCACTTCCTACTATCCTGCTATCCTGCTATCCTACTATCCTACTATCCTACTATCCTACTATCCTACTATCCTACTATCCTACTATCCTACTATCCTACTATCCTACTATCCTACTATCCTACTATCCTACTATCCTACTATCCTACTATCCTACTATCCTACTATCCTACTATCCTACTATCCTACTATCCTACTATCCTACTATCCTACTATCCTACTATCCTACTATCCTACTATCCTATTATCCTACTATCCTACTATCCTACTATCCTGCTATCCTGCTATCCTACTATCCTACTATCCTACTATCCTACTATCCTACTAGCCTACTATCCTACTATCCTACTTCTTACTATCCTACTTATTATTATAAATGTAAAATAGCTCTCCCGAATCAGAAAATATACAGATGTCAAACGTTTCAGGAGGCAGGGGTGGCTCAGCACAGTCTGGAGCTTACTCTGGTGCTCAAACAAATGGAGGTAAGACGTTGTTGAAACGAATTTAAATCGTCTAAAAACTTTATTAGTTGTGTTGTACGGCAAAGGTTATAAATTGTGATTTTTTCCTGGAGGCAAGGGCGGTGCAGCGCAATCAGGAGCTTATTCTAGTGCTGTAACGAATGGAGGTATGTGTAGTTACTTTTATTCTATTACCATCGCGCAAGTTAGTCCGCCCCATTTTTCGTTTTGGATATTTTTTATTGAAATTTTGCAGGAGGCAAGGGTAGTGCTGCGCAATCAGGAGCTTATTCTGGTGCTGTAACCAATGGAGGTAAGACTCACAACCAAAAAATTAAATAAAAAAATATTAAGTATTTTTGTATATTTTTTGAAAATGATTGACAAAGTACATGCAAACTAGAAAGTCCACTAGTGATTTGCCACAGAGCGTACAAATTCTGTTTTAAAATTTCAAATATTTTTTTTTAATGAAAATGTTTAATTATAATTTGAAAATAATATTACAAATGTGCTCAATCTGAAGCATATTCTAGAGAAACAAGTGGAAAAAAATATGCAAAAGTATTCCTAGAATACGATCACTAATTTTCGTATGAAAAATCATTTTAATCAAAATAAAAACTATAAACACTTGAGTGCTTAAGTCTAATTTAATTTTTACAGCAGGCATGGGTGGTGTAGCGCAGTCAGGAGCCTATTCTAGTGCTGTAACCGACGGAGGTAAGAATCCAATAGAACGGGACCGAGCCCCTCCAGTCAGATTCCTACACAGCAATTAATACTCGTATGAAAATAAGTTTTTGTTTTGATGGAAACAAGCTGTAATGGTTTTTTATAAATATTTCGCGATGGCTATGTGTCTTAGTGTGTATCGTGGCAGTGGCAGCACATGGCTGCGTAAATTGAGAAGGAAACGCTATTCGGTATATTGTATGAATATTACACTCGATTCACAGGAGGTCAGGGTGGTGCAGCTCAGTCCGGTGCATACTCCAGTGCTGTAACCAACGGAGGTGAGAGTGATTATTTGTTATAAATATCTTTCATTGATAATCACAATTATGGAATCCCTACTAAATATGAGAGTAACAAAGGCTTTTAAGTATTTAAATAATTACTCGAGTAACAATGCAATACTATTTAACAATAACTTGATAGGTAAAAAAGGTGGTTCAACAAAGTCTGGAGAACTGACGCCTGGAAAAGACAGTGAATCAGCTGAAGAATCGCAAGATGATGAATCAAAGCCAGTAGAACAATCACAAGAGGGTGAAACAAACTCCAAAGAAACATCACAGGAAGAGAATTCACAGTCAGGAGAGAAATCCCAGGAGAATGAATCAACGCCTGGAGAAATGTCACAGGAGGGCGAAACAAAGTCCGAGGAGAAATCACAGGAAAATCAAACAAAGTCCGGGGAAAAGTCACAAGAGGGGGAAACACAGTCAGGAGAAAACTCAGAGGAAGAGGAAACACAGTCAGAAGACAAATCACAGGAAGAGGAAACACAGCCAGGAGAGAAATCCCAAGAGGAAGAATCAACGCCTGGAGAAAAGTCACAGGAGGACGAAACAAAGTCCGGAGAGAAATCACAGGAAGAGGAAACAAAGTCCGGGGAGAAATCACAGGAAGAGGAAACGAAGTCAGGAGAGAAATCACAGGAGGATGAAACAATGCCTGGAGAGAAATCACAGGAGGATGAATCAACTGCTGGAGAGAAATCACAGGAGGGCGATACCAAGTCCGGGGAGAAATCACAGGAAGAGGAAACACTGTCTGTAGAGAAATCACAGGAGGATAAATCAATGCCTGGAGAAAAAGCACAGGAGGGCGAAACTAAGTCCGGGGAGAAATCACAGGAAGAGGAAACACAGTCTGGGGAGAAATCACAGGACGATGAATCAACTGCTGGAGAGAAATCACAGGAGGACGAAACCAAGTCCGGGGAGAAAACACAAGAAGAGGAAACACAGTCTGGAGAGAAATCTCAAGAGGAGGAACCAAAGCCAGACAAAGTGACAACAGGCATGGGTGGTGCAGCGCAAACGGGCGCATATTCCAGTGCTGTAACAAACGGAGGTAAGAATAATTTTTTTTTATATAAATATCTTTAATTTAAAATCACAATTTAATAAATAAATCATGGCAAATATGCCATGATTTTCTCAAAATATTGCAAAGTACATTATTAAACAAAATCGGTGATTTGTTTGTAAGACTAGTGGAAAATACCGATTTTGCACTAATTAGTTGTAATAGGTTTTTTTTTATTGAAAAGGAGGCAATCGAGCAGACGGTTCACCTGATGGTAAGCGATCGGCGCCGCCCATGGACATCGGGTACTTTTATAGAGAAGAAAAATCTAAAATAAAATATGTTGTCTAATTAATGAATGAAAAAAAATAAGCTAAGCTAAGCTATTGTCGCTTTACAGGAGGCAGGGGTGGTGCAGCACAATCTGGCGCATATTCCGGTGCTGTAACTAACGGAGGTAAGATTAACCACCAAAAATTAAGTATTTACAAAAATATGAAGTTGTTGTGAATGTTGATCTTTGTTTTGTCTCAAATCGCACAAATTCGGAGGGTACATTATAATTGTAATTTTAAAAATGCTGGTTAATATAAATGATAACTAATAATGACAAAAAAAATATATATAGTATTAATCAAAATAAATTCAATGAATACGAGTGCATTAGTCGGATTCTCTTTTTTTCAGCAGGTAAGGGCGGAGCAGCGCACTCAGGAGCCTATTCTAGTGCTGTAACCAACGGAGGTAAGAATACATCAGTACAGCTTCGACTCCAGTTTTTTTTATGATACAAGAATTTTTTGAACAATAGATCTTTAAGTAGTTGTTTTTCCTTTTTAGTTAAATCGGATTGTTTTTTTTTTATATTTGTAATGGGTTATTCAAAATGTTTCATTATTTATTTAATTATTCGGTATTTTTTATGATAATATACACATAATTCACAGCAGGTAAGGGTGGTGCAGCGCAGTCAGGCGCCTATTCCGGTGCTGTAACCAACGGAGGTAAGCATGGTTATTTGTTTTAAATACCTTTCTTTAATAACCAAAATTTCATGCGTGGTATCAATGTCAAATATTGCAAAGTAAATTGAACATATCCGGTATTTTCCACCAATCAGTAATTATTAATAGACACGTTTATAGGAAACTCATAAACTATACTTTTCCACGAATTGTATACTAAAATAGTATACTATTTACTGAAAAATTTGGTCGAAAAATCAAATGTATCGTGTCATATTATTGAATGAAAACATTACTTGCGTTGTAATTTAAATGTAATTAGCTTTCGACCTAGAAAACTACTCAATAGTCGCTTTACAGGAGGGAGAGGTGGTGCGGCACAATCTGGTGCATATTCCGGTGCTGTAACTAACGGAGGTAAGAATATTACCTAAAACAAATCGTAAGAGAAAAAAAGCTTATTATTTTTGTTTACGTTTGTCGCGAAATATTAAAACTATACCTACAGAAGGCAAAGGAGGAACTGTAAATAGTGGAAGAAAGAAAATTATAAAAAATATTTTTAAAAATATTTCTAGCTTTAATTGATATTGAATTGCTTATTGAAAATATATTTACTAAACAAAATCAATACAATAAATACGAGTGTATAAGTCGATTTTACTTTTTACAGCAGGCAAGGGCGGAGCAGCGCAGTCAGGCGCCTATTCGAGTGCTGTAACCAAAGGAGGTAAGAATAATTAGATATTAATATTTACTTGTATGAAAAAAGATAACCAATTGAAGTCGTTGCTTTTGTAGTAAATTTGAAACCTGCTGTAATGGTTTATTAAAAATATTTAATTATTTATTGATATGGAAATGAAATGAAATGAAATGAAATGAAATCGTTTATTCGTAAACATAGGTTATATAAAGTTGTTTGAATGATTGACATACAGTGCAATACAGCGAGACCGTCTATGTTTTAATTGTATGTCTTTGAGGTAAGAATAATTTAAATAGTTTTTTTTTCGTGGATTGAAACTTGTTTTAAGGGATTATTTAATATGTCTACTTATTTATTGAATTTTTCGTTTTATCGTATGAAATTGAACACAACTCACAGGAGTTAAGGGTGGTGTAGCTCAGTCCAGTGCATATTATAGTGATGTAACCAACGGAGGCAAAAAATCATTTTCGTAAAACATAGCAGGAGATATTCAACAACAATAAAAAATTAAACCAATATAAATATTGTCAGGTGGCAAAAGAGGTGCAGCGCAGTCTGGTGCATACTCCGGTGCCGTAACTAATGGAGGTAAATAAGTAATGTTATTGAAAATATATTTGTAATTGGCATACTTATTGTATTTGTTGGAGTATAAAAAATATGCACAATAACAGAATCAATTTTTCAATTCAAACTTAACAGCGAAGTCAAGTGCTCGTAACTAACATAGAAAATATCTGAAAATGCACAATCTAATAAAATTTGAATATTTGCAGGAGGACGTGGTGGAGTAGCGCAATCAGGCGCATATTCTAGTGCTATGACCAATGGAGGTAAAAATTATAGTAAAATTATAATCGCGATTCTTATAAAAGTATAATTAAAAAGCCCGTGGAGCCTTTTAGTTGAGCCGCCCGTCTCATACGCATAAGAAAGCAATCTTGGTGATTAATGCTTAAACCATCTACGTTTAAGAAGATGCCTTTGCACAGCAGTGGGCACCTATAGGCTACCTATATTGGCTAATGATGATGATGATTATCAAAAGGTGTTGTTCAACTAACAGTAACTCTCTTTTTATTGAAAAGTTCAACATCATAAATTACTTCTGATTTGTAATAAATGTACAAACATATAAGAATAAAGTTATAAAGTTCATTTCATTCGAAGTTATTACTATAAAGTAGAATATTGCACATTATGTTCATTTTTTTTTACAGGAGGCAAAGATGGTGCAGCTCAATCGGGTGCATATTCTGGTGCTGGAACCAATGGAGGTGAGAAAAGTACACCATTAATAAAAATATCATCATTTATTTTAATGTTAAATTTTTAACAATTTATTTTAATAAATGTATTTTTGTAATCAGCATCTGTAATTCTTATCACTTAAGCATCCTAAAATGAAAGAGTCGCCAACTTGTAGGTACGTTATTATATTTTTTTTATGGAAACTGAAAGTAAGCGTGTTGGCAGTTCGACTGTAAGTGATCCGCACCACCCATGTCAGGAGCCATTACCCAAAGCCAGAGCCTTTTAAGAAAGCGCTCTTTCTTTGAATGTTTAAATGCATTGGTTTAAAAAGAATTTCAAACATTTCAGACGGTGGTGCAGCGCAGTCAGGAGCGTACTCCAGTGCAGTAACCAACGGAGGTAAGAGTAAACAATTATTATTTTTATCTAAAAAGAAGAGTTGGTAATATTTTTTTTTTAATTAATAACCACACCTATTTTTTATAGAGGGTGAGGGCGGGTCAGCACAGTCGGGTGCATATTCCAGTGCTGTGACTAATGGAGGTAACAAAACATATTTTTAAAATCAATTCTTGTTCATCTAAAACTTTAAATAATATTGCAGCTTAGTGTAACAAGAGTTTTTAAATATTTTCACAATATACTAAAAAAATCATTTCAACATTATCTTAATAGGTAAAAAAGGTAATTCAGCGAAGTCTGAAGAAGTGACGCCAAATAAAGACACTGAATCAGAAGAAGAATCGCAAGATGATGAATTAAGGCCAGCAGAACGATCACAAGAGGAGAAACCAACATCTGGAGAGGAGTCACAGGAGAGTGAAACAAAGTCCGTAGAAAAGTCACAAGAAAAGGAAACACAACCAGGAGACAAATCGAAATCAGGAGAGCCATCTCAGGAGGACGAAACAAAGTCTGAAGAAGTTACCACAGAAGAAGAACTCGAATCAGGAGAGATGTCACAGGATGAACAATCAATGCCTGGAGAGGAATCACAGGAAAATGAAACCAATTCCGGAGAAGTGACCCCAGAAGAAGAACCCGAATCAAGAGAGATGTCACAGGAAGAAGAATTAATGCCTGGAGAGGAATCACAGGAAAATGAAACCAACTCCGGAGAAGTGACCCCAGAAGAAGAACCCGAATCAAGAGAGATGTCACAGGAAGAAGAATTAATGCCTGGAGAGGAATCACAGGAAAATGAAACCAACTCCGGAGAAGTGACCCCAGAAGAAGAACCCGAATCAAGAGAGATGCCACAGGAAGAAGAATCACAGGAAAATGAAACCAAGTCCGGAGAAGTGGTCCCAGAAGAAGAACCTGGATCAGGAGAGATTTCACAGGAAGAAGGATCAACGCCTGGAGAAAAATCACAGGAAAATGAAACCAACTCCGGAGAAGTGATCCCAGAAGAAGAATCAGGTTCAGGAGAGAAATCCCAGGAGGAATCAAAGCCAGGAAAAGTGAAAACAGGCATGGGTGGTGCAGCGCAATCGGGCGCATATTCCAGTGCTATAAACGGAGGTAAGAATAATAATTATTACTTGTTCGAAAAAGGATGACTAATTTGTGTTGTTGATTAATGTTATGATTTATTCGAAATATTTCATTATTTATTGAATTATTGGGCATTTTGAATGATATTGTACACAATTCACAGGAGGTAAGGGTGGTGCAGCTAAATCCGGTGCATACTCCAGCGCTGCAACCAACGGAGGTATAAAAATATTTTTTACTAGCTTTTGCCCGCGACTTTGTTCACGTGGAAAAGTTACTTCCTGCAGATTTTTGGAATAAAAACTATCCTATGTCCTTTCTCGAGTTCCAAACTATGTCTGTATCAAATTTCACAGAAATCGGCTCAGTAGTTTAGGCGTGAAGAAAAGACAGACAGACAGACAGAAAGACAGACAGACAGAGTTACTTTCGCATTTATAATATTATAGTTAGGATAAAACGGCACGTGATATTTTCAACAATAAAAAATATCAAACTTACATTTGTAAAATTTTCAGATGGTTCTGCGCAGTCTGGTGCATATTCTGGTGCCGTAACCAACGGAGGTAAATATTTTTAGTGTTATTAAGATATAAGAATAATTTTAACCATAGATAAGAAATTGTACTTGTTGGATTCTAAAAAAGAAAAATAATAACTCAAACTTTTCTGTGCAATTCAGTACTGTAACGAATGAATCATGAACCTGAAAATGCACAGTTTAATAAAATTTGACAACGGTTAAAGTCGAATATGGTAGTTTGATTAAAATAATAATACTACGAAAATAATAATTCTATGAATATTTGCAGGAGGTCGTGGTGGAACAGCGCAATCTAGTGCCTATTCTGGTGCTGTGACCAATGGAGGTTAAAATTGATATTTGTTAATATTAATAAAAAGCCTTAACGTGTCGTGGTGGCCCGGAGGTTAAGGCGCCCGCTTCTCATGCGTGAGGGTGCGAGTTCGAAACCTGGCGAGTACCAATGTGACTTTTTCCGAGTTATATGTACTTTCTATGATTATTTAGACACCACTGACATACGGTGAAGGTAAACATCGTGAGGAAACCTGGACTTATAATTTCTAATTATAAGTTTGAAATCACCAACCCGCATTGAGCAAGCGTGGTGATTAATGCTCTAACCTTCTCCGTGTGAGAAGAGGCCTTTGCTCAGCAGTGGGCACTTATAGGCTGATGATGATGATGATGATGAATAAAAAGCCTTTGGTGGCGCGGAGGTTAACGCGCCAGTCTCAAATGCTTGAGGGCCTCCACATTTATATGAGACACAGATTCGAAACCTGTGAAGAACCACTGTAACTTTGCCGAATAATATATACACTCTAACTTTATTTAGAATCTACTGGTTTACGGCGAAGGAAAACATCGTGAGGAAACCTGAACGTATAATCTCTAACAGTTAATTCGTGCGTAGTGCGTGGTTTTGTTGATTTGTGCTCAAACTTTCTATGTTTGAGAAGTATGTATATTTGCAAAGTGCCAAAGTGGGCACCAATAGGCTAATAATGATGATAATTATAATTAGCTTTTATTTAACAAATTTTTGATTGAAATCGCAATTTGAATAAATTTAAAGAAAAATCTTATAAGTATAAAATTAAAAGTAAAGCAAATTACGTTAAACTGTTATTTTTACAGGTGGCAAAGGTGGTGCAGCACAATCAGGTGCATATTCTGGCGCTGTAACCAATGGAGGTTAGAAAACTACAACCATTATTAAAATGACATTTATTTTTATGTTATTTTTTATACTTTTTTCAATTTATTTTGTTTTTTTTCATTATTTCAACATTTGAAATTCTTATTAAGTAATAATATCTAAGCATCATAAATAAAGATTGCCGATATCAAACGATACGAAAGTAGTCGTAAATGTGTTGCTAACCTATTAGTAGAAGCACTGAAGATTCTCATAAAGCATCAGTTCCTACATACCGCCACTGTGCGAAGCAGTAATTTTGTATAAAACGCACAATAAGGCTATTAAACCATACAATAAATAAAATTAAAGATGAAATCACCAAACTTGAAACATTTCAGAGGGTGGTACAGCGCAGTCAGGTGCATACTCCAGTGCAGTAACCAATGGAGGTAAATATAAACAATTATCAGTACCAAAAAGGGGGCATGCGATTCTGTGTTTTTTTTGTAGTTAACGAGCATACTGATTTTTTATAGAGGGTGAAGGTGGATCAGCCCAGTCTGGTGCATATTCCAGTGCTATAATCAATGGAGGTAAAAACAATCAATTTACGAAGTTATTTTTTATATTTTGTTTAATAAAGTTTAATTTAATAAACATTCTAATAGTCCTTGATGTTACTGCCAAAAATAGGTGAAACGGTTAATATATATTTATCTAAATAATCCCTTTTATAAATAAACATTTATAAAGTTTATGAAATTGCCAAATTCAGATGTAATCAAAACTTTACTTTAGGTCGGGGTGGCTCAGCGCAATCAGGCGCATTTTCAAGTGCTGTAACAAATGGAGGTAAAGAAATTTAATTCTAAATTTGTCTGTTTATCTGTTACTTCAAAGCAAAATGCAGCTTAGTAACAGTACCAATAACTTTTAGTGAATTTTAAACCTTAACTCCTAACTCAATAGGTAAAAAGGGTGGTTCAGCTAACTCTGCAGAAGTGACGCCAAGAAAAGACACAGAATCAGGAGAAAAATCGCCTGATAATGAAACAAAACCAGGAGAGAAATCACAGGAAGAGCAAACACGGTCCGGAGAAAAATCGCAGGAAGAGGGAACACAGTCCGGAGAGGAATCGCAGGAGGATGAATCAACAACTGCTGGAGAGAAATCGCAGGAGGGCGAAACAAAGTCCGGAGAAAAATCACAGGAAGAGGAAACACAGTCCGGAGAGAAATCACAGGAGGATGAATCATCGCCTGGAGAGAAATCACAGGAGGGCGAAACAAAGTCTGGGGAGAAATCACAGGAAGAGGTAACACAGTCAGGGGAGAAATCAAAGGAGGGTGAATCAACTGCTGGAGAGAAATCCCAGGAGGGTGAAACAAAGTCCGGAGAGAAATCACAGAAAGAGGAAACACAGTCCGGAGAGAAATCACAGGAGGGCGAAACAAAGTCCGGAGAGAAATCACAGAAAGAGGAAACACAGTCCGGAGAGAAATCCCAGGAGGGTGAAACAAAGTCCGGAGAGAAATCACAGAAAGAGGAAACACAGTCCGGAGAGAAATCACAGGAAAAGGAAACACGGTCAGGAGAAAAATCACAGGAAGAGGGAACACAATACGGGGAGAAATCACAGGAGGATGAATCAACTGCTGGAGAGAAATCACAGGAGGATGAATCAACTGCTGGAGAGAAATCCCAGGAGGGTGAAACAAAGTCAGGAGAGAAATCACAGGAGGATGAATCAACGCCTGGAGAAAAATCTCAGGAGGGCGAAACAAAGTCTAGAGAGAAATCACAGGAGGATGAAACACAGTCTGGGGAGAAATCACAGGAAGTGGAAACACAGTCAGGGGAGAAATCACAGGAGAACGAATCATCGCCTGGAGAGAAATCACAGGAGGGCGAAACAATGTCCGAGGAAAAATCACAGGAAGAGGAAACACAGTCCGGAGAGAAATCACAGGAAGAGGAAACAGGGTCAGGAGAGAAATCACAGGAGGATGAATCAACGCCTGGAGAAAAATCACAGGAGGATGAATCAACGCCTGGAGAGAAATCACAGGAGGGCGAAACAAAGTCCGGAGAGAAATCACAGGAAGAGGAAACACAGTCCGGAGAGAAATCACAGGAAGAGGAAACAGGGTCAGGAGAGAAATCACAGGAGGATGAATCAACGCCTGGAGAGAAATCACAGGAGGGCGAAATGAAGTCCGGAGAGAAATCACAGGAAGAGGAAACACAGTCCGGAGATAAATCACAGGAAGAGGAAACAGGGTCAGAAGAGAAATCACAGGAGGATGAATCAACGCCTGGAGAAAAATCACAGGAGGATGGATCAACTGCTGGAGAGAAATCACAGGAGGGCGAAACAAAGTCCGGAGAGAAATCACAGGAAGAGGAAACACAGTCCAGAGAGAAATCACAGGAAGAGGAAACAGGGTTAGGAGAGAAATCACAGGAGGATGAATCAACGCCTGGAGAAAAATCACAGGAGGATGAATCAACGCCTGGAGAGAAATCACAGGAGGGCGAAACAAAGTCCGGAGAGAAATCACAGGAAGAGGAAACAGAGTCCGGAGAGAAATCACAGGAAGAGGAAACAGGGTCAGGAGAGAAATCACAGGAGGATGAATCAACGCCTGGAGAAAAATCACAGGAGGGCGAAACGAAGTCCGGAGAGAAATCACAGGAAGAGGAAACACAGTCCGGAGAGAAATCACAGGAAGAGGAAACAGGGTCAGAAGAGAAATCACAGGAGGATGAATCAACGCCTGGAGAGAAATCACAGGAGGGCGAAACAAAGTCCGGAGAGAAATCACAGGAAGAGGAAACACAGTCAGGAGAGAAATCACAGGAGGATGAATCAACGCCTGGAGGAAAACCACAGGAGGGCGAAACAAAGTCTGGAGAGAAATCACAGGAAGAGGAAACAGGGTTAGGAGAGAAATCACAGGAAGATGAATCAACGCCTGGAGAAAAATCACAGGAGGATGAATCAACGCCTCCAGAGAAATCACAGGAGGGCGAAACAAAGTCCGGAGAGAAATCACAGGAAGAGGAAACAGAGTCAGGAGAGAAATCACAGGAGGATGAATCAACGCCTGGAGAAAAATCACAGGAGGGCGAAACAAAGTCTGGGGAGAAATCCCAGGAAGAGGAAACACAGTCCGGAGAGAAATCACAGGAAGGCGAAACAAAGTCCGGAGAGAAATCACAGGAAGAGGAAACACAGTCCGGAGAGAAATCCCAGGAGGGTGAAACAAAGTCTGGAGAGAAATCACAGGAAGAGGAAACAAAGTCCGGAGAGAAATCACAGGAAGAAGAAACACAGTCCGGAGAAAAATCACAGGAAGAGGGAACACAGTCTGGAGAGAAATCACAGGAGGATGGATCAACTGCTGGAGAGAAATCCCAGGAGGGTGAAACAAAGTCCAGAGAGAAATCACAGGAAGAGGAAACACAGTCCGGAGAGAAATCACAGGAGGGCGAAACAAAGTCCGGAGTGAAATCACAGGAAGAGGAAACACAGTCCGGAGAGAAATCCCAGGAGGGTGAAACAACGCCTGGAGAAAAATCACAGGAGGATGAATCAACGCCTGGAGAGAAATCACAGGAGGGTGAAACAAAGTCTGGAGAGAAATCACAGGAAGAGGAAACAAAGTCCGGAGAGAAATCACAGGAAGAAGAAACACAGTCCGGAGAAAAATCACAGGAAGAGGGAACACAGTCTGGAGAGAAATCACAGGAGAATGGATCAACTGCTGGAGAGAAATCCCAGAAGGGTGAAACAAAGTCCAGAGAGAAATCACAGGAAGAGGAAACACAGTCCGGAGAGAAATCACAGGAGGGCGAAACAAAGTCCGGAGTGAAATCACAGGAAGAGGAAACACAGTCCGGAGAGAAATCCCAGGAGGGTGAAACAAATTCCGGAGAGAAATCACAGGAGGGTGAAACAACGCCTGGAGAAAAATCACAGGAGGATGAATCAACGCCTGGAGAGAAATCGCAGGAGGGCGAAACAAAGTCCGGAGATAAATCACAGGAAGAGGAAACAGAGTCAGGAGAGAAATCACAGGAGGATGAATCAACGCCTGGAGGAAAATCACAGGAGGGCGAAACAAAGTCTGGAGAGAAATCACAGGAAGAGGAAACAAAGTCCGGAGAGAAATCACAGGAAGAAGAAACACAGTCCGGAGAAAAATCACAGGAAGAGGGAACACAGTCTGGAGAGAAATCACAGGAAGAGGAAACACAGTCCGGTGAAAAATCACAGGAAGAGGAAACACAGTCAGGGGAGCAATCACAGGAAGATGAATCATCGCCTGGAGAGAAATCACAGGAGGGCGAAACAAAGTCAGGGGAGAAATCACAGGAGGATGAATCAACGCCTGGAGGAAAATCACAGGAGGGCGAAACAAAGTCTGGAGAGAAATCACAGGAAGAGGAAACAAAGTCCAGAGAGAAATCACAGGAAGAAGAAACACAGTCCGGAGAAAAATCACAGGAACAGGGAACACAGTCTGGAGAGAAATCACAGGAGGAAGGATCAACTGCTGGAGAGAAATCCCAGGAGGGTAAAACAAAGTCCGGAGAGAAATCACAGGAAGAGGAAACACAGTCCGGAGAGAAATCACAGGAAGAGGAAACAAAGTCTGGAGAGAAATCACAGGAAGAGGAAACACAGTCCGGTGAAAAATCACAGGAAGAGGAAACACAGTCAGGGGAGAAATCACAGGAAGATGAATCATCGCCTGGAGAGAAATCACAGGAGGGCGAAACAAAGTCCGGAGAGAAATCACAGGAGGGCGAAACACAGTCAGGGGAGAAATCACAGGAAGATGAATCAACTGCTGGAGAGAAATCCCAGGAGGATGAAACAAAGTCAGGGGAGAAATCACAGGAGGGTAAAACAAAGTCTGGGGAGAAATCACAGGAAGAGGAAACACAGTCAGGGGAGAAATCACAGGAGGATGAATCAACGCCTGGAGAAAAATCTCAGGAGGGCGAAACAATGTCCGGGGAAAAATCACAGGAAGAGGAAACACAGTCGGGAGAGAAATCCCAGGAGGGTGAAACAAATTCCGGAGAGAAATCACAGGAGGGCGAAACACAGTCAGGGGAGAAATCACAGGAAGATGAATCATCGCCTGGAGAGAAATCACAGGAGGGCGAAACAAAGTCCGGAGAGAAATCACAGGAAAAGGAAACACAGTCCGGAGAGAAATCCCAGGAGGGTGAAACAAATTCCGGAGAGAAATCACAGGAGGGCGAAACACAGTCAGGGGAGAAATCACAGGAAGATGAATCATCGCCTGGAGAGAAATCACAGGAGGGCGAAACAAAGTCCGGAGAGAAATCACAGGAAGAGGAAACACAGTCCGGAGAGAAATCACAGGAGGATGAATCAACTGCTGGAGAGAAATCCCAGGAGGGTGAAACAAATTCCGGAGAGAAATCACAGGAGGGTGAAACAAAGTCTGGGGAGAAATCACAGGAAGAGGTAACACAGTCAGGGGAGAAATCACAGGAGGATGAATCAACTGCTGGAGAGAAATCCCAGGAGGGTGAAACAAAGTCCGGAGAGAAATCACAGGAAGAGGAAACACAGTCCGGAGAGAAATCACAGGAGGGTGAAACAAATTCCGGAGAGAAATCACAGGAGGGTGAAACAAAGTCCGGAGAGAAATCACAGGAAGAGGAAACACAGTCCGGAGAGAAATCACAAGAGGAAACACAGGAAGATGACTCAATGTCGGGAGAATTTTCCCCCGAAAAAGAGCCAGTTTCAGAAGAAATGTCTCAACAAGAAGAATCAAACTCTGGTGAAGTGACACCTGTCGAGGAGACAGCATCAGAAGACCAGTCAGAAGATCAGTCAATGTCTGGCAAAGACAAGCCATCTTATGAATCAGAATCTCAAGAAAACGAGAAAGAACCCAAATCAGGAGAAAAGTCACAGGAAGGTGATTTAAATTCAGAAGAAGTGCTGCCGGGAGAGGAGCCATCTTCAGAAGATAATTTCAAAGAAAAAGATTCAAAATCAGGCAAGGACACAAATACCAAACACCCTGTAAGGTGTGATAATTCTGGCAGAAGGAAAAGAAAATCAGACTACATTGAAATTTGGAAGAAGTACTTAACACGTATTTCGGAAGGTAAGCTTCTTTTGTTTCTTAGAAAATAAGACTAAATCCCTTTTTACTCTAACAATTCTCATAGTTGGCTATTAGTTAGAAAGGGAGTGTAGCTTTATTATGTTACGGGTACGATACGTACGCATATTACTTGATACCAAACCTGAATATTTAACAAAAAATACAAATTAAAATTTTAACCATAATACCTTAACTTTTTTTTACAGCCCGGGATCGTGCAAGGAGAAGACATCATGACAAATCTTCAAAACGAAAATCAAGAACGAAACTCTGCCTGTGTAACGTAGACGAGACTGAAGCAACACCAATAAAAGGTAAAGGTAAAGAATAATATTGTAAAGAGGTTAAAGGCGAACGGCAGGCTTGTATGCGAGTCCTGTACCGCTAATAATTTTTCATGTTTTGGGATACTTTTTGGTTCAATTGGTAGTTAATATGATCAACAAGCCCTGTTTAAAATGTTGGATTTTTAAAACTTGGGACATAAAAGTTATAGCTAGTTTTATTTTTAAAGGTTATGTACTAGAGTATTCGCTTAGATTGTCATTTGAAGGTACATAAACATTATTTTGGTGATTCAAAGGTTTGCTATACAGTTGCGAACTAGTGTTACAACCAAACTGCTGGTGTTAGCAAGAGGTGCGTTTCCCCAACAATCGAACGTGATGGCGCGTGGTTAACATCCACGGCAAAAACCTAACACACAAAATAAAGTCATCTTTGTTGAAACGCTAGTTTTCATCCATCTAGTCACTCAATAATGAAGTATTAACTGGGTTTAGAGTACAGGTATATAAAAAAATATTTTAGGTTAGGTTTGATATATAGACGTCTTTAATTATGTTGCTTGTTATTCTCACTTCTAAATAATTATTAATAATTCCGATATTTGTCTTATTTTACAATGGCAACTTCTCAAAACATGGCTGCGTTCAGTTTTTACGATTTTAGTGCGCTTGTTCATTGAAACCTTTTTATTGATATTTATAATTAATCCCAGCTTCTAAAAATAGAACAATTACATTTAAATTAATAGCTTAGCTGCCTTAATAAGTAGTACAAATTCTAATACATAACATTACAAAAAGTATGCGGTACAGGCAATGACGTATTTAGTTTTATATAATTATCATTGGGTACAGGGCCTGCCGTTCGCCTTTGTAAGTTCGTATGTAGGGTAATCTTTGGAACCGCTGTTCGGATTGCCCAAATTCTTTCACTGATATAGGCTTTGAAACATCACGCTACGATCAAATGGAACCGAGCAGCGGGTGAATCCGCGTGAGAGTAGCTAGTAAAGAAATAAAAATACGATGTTTTCGCAAATCGTCACACGTCTATGACGCCCTGTGTGGTGTAAGAGAGAGTGTAAGACGCTTACTGACTAAATACTTCTCCGTTCCTTCTTCTGCTCCAGACCGAAGTTGCGGTATATTACCTATTGCTTTTGACCAGCAAATCACCTTATAGGATAAATCTTTCTGCAACACATCATCACAACCAGAATAGATTGCTTTTCTTACTACTTACTATCTATGTGTTTGAATTGGCGTAATATGACGGCGCTGTGAAGAAAACTTTTGATACACATACCTACTGTTTTTTCTTTCACAGTCATTTGTTAAATGATTAATTGTGCTACAATTTGTAATATTATGAATATTTCAGGACATAAACTACAACATCATAAACACGAAGTACACAAAAAAGGGGAAGAACACAAAACACATGAAGGACAGAAAACACATGAAGGACAGAAAACACATGAAGGACAGAAAACACATGAAGAACACAAAATACATGAAGGACACAAGAAACATGGAGGTCACAAAAGACATGGAGGACACAGAAGACATAAAAGCCATGAACTACATAAACGACTACTAAGACGCCTTAGACACAAAAAACGTGGCCAACAAGGAAACTGATTTAAAATATCTTAAACACAATTTATCTATCAATGGTAACGGATTATTTTAACACAATAAACTGAAGCAAGCTTACATTAATTGTTTTATTTGAACATAAAAATTACGAATTGATCATCAAATTTTAACATCGGAAAGAATATTAAGTACCTAACTTGGTAAGCAATCAGCGCCGCCCATGAACACCCGCAACAACAGAGGAGTTACGAGTGCATTGCCGACTTTTTGGAGATTAGGGATTGGAGATTTAGGGATTTGGAGATTTAGGATTGCGGGAGGGGAAGGATCCGGTAACCTCACTCACACGGCGGAACACAACATTGTGGTGGTCTCACGCTGGTTTTGTGTGATGATTTGAATTAAATACTAAATTTAAACATAATGCTTGTGTTAGTACATTAGCAGATTTTAGCATTGTTGTCCTACGAGGGATTAGATATAGAAATATCTTTATTCGAAACCAAAACATGATAAAACATTACAAAGGAACCCTTAAGATATGTTTAGTAAAAAGCCTGTAGAAAAAATAATATCATACATATTACAGCCCTCAAATATTGCTTATTCACCTTCGATAAACGAATTTTCTGTCCAAAATTTGAATTTCAAAGAAACTACTCGTATAAAAAAAAGAAATCACCAATGTCTTTGAGGCGTAGACGTGATAGATTCTACATAATGGATTGAGTATAAAACAGAAGGTAGACAGGATCCGAAACGAAATCTAATTTAAAAATAAATAACCCTCTGCCGCGAATACGTTTTATATCCTTAGCCAGGATAAGTGCAGGGGATATTGTGTACTATTTCGGCTTGTGTAGCCCAAATTATTTTGAAAATTCTTTGCACAAGGTTTATTGAGTACTATTGAATAATGACAAAATAATACGTAAAGTCAGTAAGGTTCCTGTAAAAAAGATCTAAGCAAATCGTTTGATAGCAGCAGATAAGGCGTTGTAGATTTTCATACTATTACAAAAATCGAATCGAGAATTAAAAAGAAATCATTTTAAGTAATCTAATCAAAGTTTTGATATCGCCTTTTTACTTGATAACTTCATTTCTTTAAATTTCGGTTTTGATAATAACATTAAAATGACTATAATTGAACTATATATAGGTATATACAAACAATGCGATAGAAGCACAACATTGTACCCTTCACCATTACCAAAGATAGTCCCAAAAAGTTTACCAAACCCTTATTTCCTAGACAATATACATAACAAAATACCATTATGACACATTTACGTACCCTTCAAAAAAGCGAATTTCATTTAGGGTATGATATGAGGCGAGAGAGCCACTTAAAGTGGCTGGAAACTACATCTGTAAACGCAAATCTCATTTACCTTTTACTACACATTTCCAATAAAACTCAGGGAAAATATATCCTGATAATACGCCCTCAAAACCCTCAAACAAATGTGATTCTGACTAACATTTTTAACCGACTTCAAAAAAGGAGGAAATTCGATAAGTAATAATGAAACTTATGCCTGTCTTAAAGGAGAAACAGACTAAAAAGTTGATTCAACAGCAAGCTAATATAAAAGATTATTATTTTTTTACGTGTTTTCTAGCTAATTTTAATCGATCAACTTTTTGGTAGATATTGGGATTGGCACTCAAATTCAAGAACAGATTTAAAAAAAAAACTGTCTTAGAGAACGTTCTATCTCGTCCAGTTCGATCGCGGCTGTTGTACTTACGTTCCTTGAATAAGTATGGAATAAAAATAAAGAATTCAGAATTAAAAATACCACACGTAAAATATAATAAAGATTTATTTACATAAAATGTTCATTATTTACATTATATTTCACATCAACCCTCGTATTTCATACAAAATAACAATACATTCAACACATTTTTTGTATTGTATAAAATACAACTGTTATTCTTTTATTGCAAATACATACTTATTTTATTGTATCACAGTTTTTTATCGTTTATGTGTTGTATTTACATTATAAAGAATATATAGAGAGAAACGTGTCTCACCATTATCGTATATTTACTTATGGACTTGAAAAATAATTGATTACTTTACCCTTTTAATTTATACACTGTATCGATAATAATAAGGTACAAAATTCAACCAGTGTATCTTCATTTTACTAAATTAAGTACAGTCACACACATATGTTAAGTTTCATAACATATTAAATTTTAAAACTTTTGTTTTATTTGACTTAAGAAATTATTCTTGTTAAATAGTTAACTTACTTTTTTACCATTCCTAAATAAAAAATAAACGAACAAACAGATCACCTGATGACCTGATGGTAAGCAACAATCCACCAATGCTTGTTAGGTCTTCGATACCCTCAAAAACGGTGTTTCACGCCCATTTGACTGACGCACATTAGTACCGAAGCATGGCTCTTCCATATTTAGCATGTAGATATGTTATTCATTGTAAACATGACATAAGTATCACACGAGAATTCTTGAACCTTTACAGAATCATGCATACATAATTTCCAAATAAGGAATTAACACGATTCGGTTGACTTCACGTTTAGAGTCGACATACGAAGGAATAAATGAAGTGCTATTAATATGACAAATATTTCATATAAATTTTATGAGTACAAATTAAGACAAACCGATTTTTGGTTTTATTTTTTATTAAAAATACAATATTTTTCTTTTGTTTAATTAACGGGATGGTGATTTAGTCTAATATAAATTGTTTCTAAAACCAAATAAATTTTGTATTTGACAAAAAAAATGTTTGTCCCAATTAAGTAATCTCATTCAAGATTTATATAATACATATCGCTTACATCTCCATTTATCCCAACTATCATCAATACAGTAGCGGTTTTTATACGGTTTGACAGATACATACCTTATATATGAACAAAATTATATATTTTTTAAAGGTTTTCTCAAACAGTGACTGCTATTTTAAGACCTTATGGCACAGATCTAGGCAAAGTAAAAATCAACAAGTACAGACGGCTTTATATGAGATTTATGAATGAAAATTATTTTTTCATAATATCCATTAAAATCTATTGTCAATTTTAGGGGCTACTCAATAAGGTTCTTATTTAAATGACGTGCCACCCGGTCCTTGGTGACCGGCGGCGTTAACAGAGAATTTTCTCCTAAAACTGTTTTTAAAAAGAAAATAAATAATTTTAATCAATTGATTATGTTGCCACCTGTACTTTAACCAATATTTACTTATTAACAAAACCAAGGCAAAATCTTTATTTATAACATAATTAAATAATTATGATAAAGATTTGGCTTAATTAAGAAAATGATAATGTTACAAATTATACTTTCAAGTCACGGACTATAATCATGATGTCCTCTCATAGTCATCCAAATGTATACACGGCTTCACACCAAGCTTAACAAACTACTATACAGTGACCATTCAATGTGCGAAAATATCATAAAAACAAGACCATGATATCCTAGCCCCCAAGGCAAAATCAGTATCGATAATCACTTTCGCTTTTAAAACAAAACAAATAAGTAATAAGGGTTTCAGAAATTACGCGATATAAGCGTGACTCTGTTTTTTTTAATGTCTTAGGTCGGCAAACGGAAGAGAGGATTACCTGATAGTAAGCAATAAGCGCTGCCCATGGTCATTCGTAGAACCAAAGGAGTTATTACAAGTGCGTTACCGGCCTCTTGTAAGTTATTAGGGATTTAAGGAATCAAAGGAAGAAAGGGCATTTGAGGATCTGTAAGTCCGACTAGAACCGGACCCGAGCGTACCGATACGGGCGTATTCCACGTGCGATTCATTAGAACACCACAGAATAAGCTCAATAGGACTGATGTTTAACCAGGGTAGCAGGTAAAAGGGCAATAATCAACCGCGACCCCGGCCTGGAGCTCCTACAGCAAACAAAGTAATTTGATAATATTACTCTTTTATTTTAGAAGATTATCTATACCTAAGTTCCTTAGCCAACCATTTTATTTCCATACATTTGTCCATTTCTACAGCGATATCGATAGTGATCTTGGCTGGTTGTAATACAGCTTGAGGTGCAGCCTAGTGTACATGGTAAATAATGGTAAAACAGTTTAACAAAAATATTTTGTATAGAACACACTGCATACATTTTTCACGTTCATAAATCAAATAATTTTATTAATTTTAACACAAAAAGGTACACGAACAATAATTAAATAATATTCTTTTGTACAAACAAACATACGTAGACACCATTTTGTGTATATTAAACTATTTTGCTCTACCTTCTTAAATACAGACGTCTTCTGTAGAAGAATCTTGGTATCGCTGGTCCTGAAAAACAAAAAAAGAAACTTAAGTAAATTTGAAAAAGGAATCATATTTTATATAGGTCTGCTTAAAATGTGTGGTTAATCCTTTTTTTAATTGGGACAAGTTCGTTACAATTTCTATTAACAATAAACGCCACTTCGATTATGCGGTTCATTGAATTCGCCGGGCGCATCTTAGTTACATAAGCATTCGTTTTGGACCTCACAAGAAAAGGAAAATGTCAGTTCAGGAGAAAAAATTGTTTTAACACATTTAACCACCATATATATGGGCTTAAAAGACACCAATAATCATCATTAACATCAAATTAATTAGTTAATGAAAGAAAATTTATTAACTAAGCCAAGTAAATGTAACTGATGTAAAGCAGATGGAGGCCGCCATTTTTTTGCTCACTGCATGGCTTTAATCTAGTAAAAAGTCATCTCCAAACACAATACCAGTCACACAGTCTCAGCCATAAGAAAGAAAGTCCAAGTCCAGTGTCATTGTCTTGTGATCAAAATTACGGCAGCCTCGATGAAACAAAAGCAATTATCAAACACCAGGACTTTTATAGGCTTCCTGTACGAGTCGTGAATCGACTATAAAACCTCGTGATCTGCATCCGTGAACACGATCAGAAAACCAAGAGGACAATCCCTTCAAATCCGTAATTTTACAATGACAACGCATGAAATTACCCAGACTCACAACGTCTATGACACATTTTCAA